CACGCCTGCCACGAGATAAATGAAATGGGAGCGAGTGGCACGCCTGCCACGATATAAATGAAATTGGAGCGGGTGACACGCCTGCCACGAGATAAATTAAATGGGAGCGGGTGGCACGCCTGCCACGAGATATATGAAATGGGAGCGGATTGCACGCCTGCAACAAGATGTGAAATAAAAGTGAATTCTGCCTTTGTTTCCCTTATCTTTGTTAGTAGTTGGATTTTGGTTCCTTTATAATTCTCTTGATATTCTGTTTTTACCTGTTATTCCCCAAAGGATGCTTTCCCCCTCCCATCTTTACTTGTTTATTCATGCTTTACTTTCCGTTGTATATTATATAACTGTACAGGTTTATTTGGTAGTCTGGTCCTAGCCTCGTCATTACTTCGCCGAGGTTAGGCTAGGCACTTACCAGCACATGGGGTCGGTTGTGCTGATACTACACTCTGCACTATGTGCAGATTCTGGAGCAGCTCTTGGACCGTAGTTTGGAGGCTACCTTCAGTCCATGCGGAGATCCAAGGTAGACCTGCAGGCGTCCGCAGGCCCTGGCGTCTCCTCTATCCTTTATTTCTTGTTTCATCTATTTGCTTCAGAAACAGTGTGTCTTTTATTTTCAGACCTTGTATTTAGCAGTCTTAGATCGTCTGTGGTACTATGACACCAGTTCTGGGTGATTAAGGTTTAAGCTGTTGTAATAGATGCGTTCAGATATTTTATTGCTTTCTTCCGCTTAATCTAAATTTTCGCTGTTTACACGTTATTGTTTTATATAATGTTAAAGAGAATAAAAATTGGTTCAAAAAGATAATTTGTTTAATAATTGGCTTGTCTAGCTCACATTAGTAGGTGCCATCACGACTCCCGAGGGTGAAAATCCGGGTCGTGACATGTAATCGGGCGAAGCAACCAATTTCGCATTCTACACTTCTTGGCCTTCTAATGAGGTATGTAATTCATTCTCTCTAGCACAATAAATTCTAGAATGTAAGCACCTTGTTCCTCATCCGTTGGCTCCTCCAAAGGCTCATATGACTCGATTTCTATGTCATCATCCAAACACATTGTTGAAAATGCATGGAATGAGGATCAATGCGTTCCCACTCTGGAACTACATCACTAGTTACATCCTTATTTGTACACACACTAGAGTCTTCAAATATAACATTATGTACTTCCTCAAAGGACTCTAGTGTGCTTTCCTCAACATGGACATCATCAATAAAAGTATGGTCGAATGATTGACTCTCCACTTTTAGCTCCGCAATTTGGCATATAAGCTCCATTTCAGTTTCACACAACTCAGAACTATTTTGTTGGGCATTAGACACATCAACCTTTGCAATCAATTGAGCTCCCAAGTCGTAAATATCAGTGCCAAATTTTTCAATCTCTTGTCCCAATTCAACTCTTCCTTTTATAGAGTATCTCATCCCATCCCATCAGTAATCTCCTCACGTTGAGCCTCATATATTTCTAACTTTTCATCTTGTTCCACTAGCCATGGTTGGTTCAAAATCTCCACTTTTTCAAAATTTTCCTTTTGTTGGAACTCGCTCTCTTCATTCAATTCTTCCATATTAGCCTTCATCCTTGTGATTGTTGCCCTCATTCTTTTCATATCTTTTTTGAGTTCATTCTGTTGTTTTGCTACTTGCCTCAGAATATTCCTAATATATGCATCACGTTACATATCCTACACTTCATTGCCCCTATCAAACTCACAAACATCATTAGAAAGATCACAATAAGGGCTCAGAGAAGGATGAAAAGAATTAGGACAACCATCCCAATGGCCATCTTGACCACCACACATATTACAAATACTCCATTCAAAGGATTGAGGTTGTGCGCACAACTCGCTCAAGGGAACATTCTGACAATTTTTTCACCAGTGGGGTCCTCCACAATATAGGCAAGAGTCATCAGAAAAAGAATAATCATCATTCGAATAATTTTCATTCCAAGATGCCATGTTAAAATAAAAAAAATGCTAACTAAACTAAAGAAAGAATAGATAAAAAAAATAAATGTCTAATTTAGAAAAATAGCTAATATCTAAGTCCCCGGTAACGGCGCCAAAAACTTGTTGCGGCCAAACGCACACGCAAATATACGCGGTCGTCAAGTAATAAAGTGACTAAAAGTCGGATGTCGATCCCATGAGGACTTGTGATTAACTTTAACTAAATTAGACTATCCTAATTATCTAAACAAGAATTAAACCTAGAAGTATTTAATTCTAAACTAATTAAATAAAGAAATATAAATAATAAACTTTGAACAGAGGAAGGGCAGATTTTTATGTTATCAATGTAATGAAAACGATCTGGGGTCATGAGCTATCTAACAACCCTATTGTATTCTTCAATTGAATTGACTAACTAATTCATCTAGTTTATTGGTTAACAGGGTCAATAGTGCTCGTAAGAATCTGTCGAGTTCTTACTCACCTATTCAAGCTAACTTAACGCCTATATGTATATGGAGTTAGAATCAACAAGAACGCATTTATAATTCCTGTAAATCAACCAAGCAAGGTAATTAGGTATTTGTCTATCCTAATCGCGAATCCATTCCCCGATGCCCAGGTTCAAGAACTTGCTCTACTCAATCCTATGTACAATCTAGAACTCCCACTTTCGAGTTCAATTGTAGATTCGTAGATAGTATTCAATTGGTGATCAAGCAATTAAATAATTAAGCGCAAGATTGAATAAATAAACCAATACGATAAATCAAGGAATCAAAATCAATATTCGAATAACAATAATCATGAAAGAACCACAATCCTAGAGCTTGAAGTTTTAGCTCCACATAGACATGGTAGCCAAACAACAAATCATACAAAGAAGCATAAAAAAAATACTAAGTTTGGTAGGAGAAAAGAAGAAACTCGGCCTCCACGACGGCTCTATGCTCTCCCTCGGTCAAAAGTCTATCTAAAGTTCTCAAAATATCGTTTTTATATGTATTTATACCAAGTAGGGTCAGGCTCAGACGAAACACCCTTTCCTGCGCGAAATAGGACTTGGATCTGTAAAATTTGTACAGGCGCGCCGCACTGTGCGGTGTGCTTGTGGGGAAGTTCAGAGAGCTGATTCTGACAGACTGCAGGAGAATTCCAAAGGCGCAGCAGTGCAATTTTCTCATAGTGAAATTATTTCATCCTCTTTTGACATCCAGACTTGGTACACGACCTCCGAACACGATCCCGACTTAATGTATTAGGCTTTTACTCAGACTTCAAAGCTCCAAATCACTTGAATTCATTCTATAACGCTTATATAGATTGGAATCACTCCTACAAGGCATAAAACACATATTTAGTGCAAAACACTAGCGATTAAAGCTCAAACTCAATTAAAATGCAGTAAATTGAAGTGTAATAAGCGACTAAAATATGCAATTCTAGCCTATCATCAAAGCTACAACAGGAGAATCTCAAAGATTAAGAGACAAGATTCAATCATGCAAGAAACCCCTGTGCTTTATAATCCCGAACATTAGGCAGGTGATCAGATGGTATGAACCCCTTTCGTATCTGAGTGGTTGTCTGATTTTGTAATCCATCATATAAAGAAGTCAAGAATTCGGTGGAATATTGTTTAGGTATTAAGATGTTGCACACATTTCTAGACATAACATAACTCAAATTTCAATTGCAGCAAACTGGTAATTGATGGAGAACTTTGATGACACAAATTCTAGTGATGGATGTCAAACGAAGCGGTCATCCTCGTGGTGTTGTATAGAGGAAGAACGAAAAAACTAGAGCTTGAGGTCCTACCCTATATACAGGCAAAAAACTAGAGCTTGAGGTCCTATCCTATATACAGGCATCCGTTTCTTAAGTATAAGTAGTGGGCTTGTGGCTATAATGGAAATGCGGCGTACTAGAGATTTTAATAGTGTGATGTGACAATGACCTTTGAGCCATCAAGTTGCATTATTATATATTCTTCATTAGCTGTGATTTCCTTGTATTCAATAATCAATGGCAATAATATCGAGTTCAAGATCTCAAATATCTTAGTAGGTCAACGTGGTTTAGAAAGATCCACAACATCTGAAGAAACGAAAGAACTTTACGCATTCAATTAACCACAACGCTTGTTGTATCTTAAGAGGAAATACTCACCCTAAGGGTGAAGAAATTATCTTAACACTACAGAATTACGGCTCAGTGCAACTTGCTTCTCAACCGCAAACCTCTCTCTAATTTTACTATAACAAGCACAAACATGGTTATTCTTTATCAAAAACAACAAGCTATAAAGATGCCTAGAAATATTTTTTGTTACATGCTTAAAATACAAGCAAATGCCAACTGTTCTTATGATGAAATCTTTGATATGGAATCCTATCTCCTTCATTTCCATAACTTGACCGAACTGTCATGACTTGCAGAACCAACCATTCCAGTCGCTGGTGATTGTGCTAGAGCAGCGATAATGTTATCATGTGCTGGAACTGTCATGCTTTTATTCTCAACCATGTCCCACAGCTCCAAAGACTGCAACATAAATTCACAAAGTATCAGTCAGCTGGAACCCAGAGACTGCTGTAATGGCCGGCACTGAAGTGTGGGCATTGTCACTAAACAGTCAAAAGTGTATGAACATGTAGTCCAACATACTTAAGTGACATCTTACCGACGTGAATTAAACAGACTTAAGAACAAGAGTGCTTAAGAAAAGGAGAACGCTAATTACCCTCATTCCTCCGATCACCAACAAAGCTGAATAACTAGGATGAAAAACACAAGAGTGGAACTGATTCCCGGTAGCACTTAGCTCATGAATGCAGTCACCGGTGGTCAATGACCAAACTTTGACAGACTCCTCACTAACTGATGCCAATAACTCACCATTTAGATCCCAACACAGGTAGTTCACCACTCCAGGATGTCCCTGTAACCAAACACCCATATTTATCTGAAAAGTAAAATGAAGCCTAGGACACCCAGAAAATAGAAACAACAGATAATGCTAATTGGAAAACCTCAAAGTCATCTAGCACGAAAACAAACCTGGAAGGAATTAATTTGCCGGTCATTTTCGACATCAAAGATGGAAACCACCTTATCTGAAGCAGCAGCCAACAGACGGCCGGTCATTGGCTGAAACCTCACTTGTGCACTGCCTCCTTGCTACAAACGGGATATGAAGTTGAACATAGCTCAACAGGAATTTACTTCTGCAAAGTGGATTAAGAAAATAACAGTAATTAACAATAGAAAGCACACCTTGGACACCCGAGTGCATGAAAATGGACTAACACTCCAGTAGCGAATCTCATTGTTGCTATCGCAAAAACAGAAGAGATCGTTCTTCTTCGGGTGAAAATCAAGCGACATAACATGAAAAGTATGCCCTGTATAAGCTTGCAAACAATAGCTAGGCTGCAAATATAAGTTCAGCAGAAGATTATTGAGCATAAATTTATTTAACAGCAAATTAACTGAAAACTGGCAAATTGTATGATGGTATGAAGTGCTCCGCGCTACAGCTAAGGCCTGCAACTACATCTCGTGGTTATAAGAAAAACACCTAGAGAATGTAAGAATACTAACATTGGAAGCATCCCATAATCTCACAGACTTGTCAAATGAAGCAGTTGCAAGTTGAGAAGAATTAGGCCGGAAGCGGACATCTGTAATCAAGTATTGATGTTCCTCAGGGGTGTTCTGTGTTTGCAGAGTATCCATGTTCCAAAGAACTGCCTGATATATACATGGAAAACGGTTCATAATTTACAATTTCTTGGATGAAACCAAAGCGTAGAAGAAAATGGATATGGGTAATGAAGTAAACAGAGGACAGAGCCTACATTCACATACCACAGAATGAAATAAAACTATCATCCGGTTATCTTATGCTAAAGACACCAGATACTCTGAAGCAACCTACCTTCTTGTCGTGCCCAGCACTAGCAAGCAACTTCCCATCCGATGAGAAATGACAGCAAGTCACTTTATTTCTGGTGCGTATACAACCAACTTCACCAAAGGAGAAACCTGAGATGTATCCTTTTAAGTTAACATACTGTAACCAAAGAAGAAAAACAACAGAGAACTTATACGTACAATTGTGAGATTATTACCTTTTGAAGAATCAGGCTTGTGCTCAGTAAGAGTTTGCTTCAATGTGCCATAGATGTTTCCATCTCCCCCGTCATTTGACAGGAATGATTCCACATTATCTTCGAAAGAACCAATGTCTCCAAAAGTCTCCCCTAAGTCATCCTGTACAACAGAAGAAAGCAAGAAGAGCAAACAGATTTAAAATAGCGAATGATACTTTAAATTCATGATATAGTTAGCAAATTAAAACTTCTCAACCATAAAAGATCCATGAAGCAACATAACAACCAAATACTTCATTAACAAATACAAAAATTGTATGTTTAGAAATAGATAATGCAAACAAACATTTGAATGAAAAAAGTGAAAGAATTACCAGCTGATTCGTAGAAGATGCAATACCACCAGCTCCCTCTCCTCCATACATCATCAAGCCTTTTGACACGCTAGTCATCCCATCACCTGGGGTATGTGTTGATGCTGGTGAGCTTGGTGAAGGCCCAACAGTGTTACCCGTGCCAGTACTATTAGCAGGTCCAGAAGACGAATGTTGCTTCCTTTTTCTGTTGTTCTGGGAAAAGAGTAAGAAGATGGATGAACTACTCTTTAATTGCTTGGACAGTTGGAACTGGTTAGATAAGTTATTTTCCAGGAACAACCCCCCGCCCCACCTCCCATCCCCCCAAAAAAAAGAGGAACAGGAAAAGACAGAAATTCCCAACTATAGAAAAAGAGGTACAAACGGGTAAGGCAAGAAGAGATGTTAAATATTAACAATACTTGATTGCATGAGTTTGATGGATATCAAAAAATCAGATATAAATACAGCTTTTTACGCTTTCCTTAGGCTAACCTGTTGCAGTTGCTGCTGCTGTTGTTGCTGCTGCAACTGGTCCTGTTGTTGAGAGGAAGATTGCTGCATTTGGGACATTTTCATCTGTTTAAGACAGGTATATGGCATAAGCACTTTAAACTTCAAATGTTCTATGGATTGGAAGAGAATAACTGAGATCCTTCTACAGAAATGTCATCATCATTTACAAACAATCTCTAGCCTCAAAAGAGTAGTTATGCAGTGTAATGGACAAAACACCACATAGTTAACGCCCGGAAGCAAAATATATTCTTGACTCTAGGAGAATAAAGTTAACCTTCGGTGAATTTGATTGTACTGGAGAGCAAATGGATCCATCATTCCTTGGAGGTTGACCATCTTTAGCATTAAAGTTTCCTCTAGGTAATCCACCGAACCCATAATTAGGTGAATTTCCAAGGTTACCTTGGGCTTGAGCTTGAGCTAGGACCTGTTGTTGTTGTGATGCCAAAAGAAACTGATTTTGGGTCTGTAAGTTGGGCTTTTGTACTTGCAAACCCAAGCTGGGCCTTACCTGGTCGATTCCCTGTATATATTATGAGCAAAGCAGCCGATATGCACGTCAAAATCTCTGTATATATTGAACGATGATAATTAAAAGCAATTTAACTTACTGTTAAAGGCCAACCCTTCAATGGTAGACCAGTGACACCTTGGTTCAACCCTAAAGAACAAGGAGAAAATATAAGGACTGAATTGCCCGAGTAAGATCATCTAACGATATAATCGACATACAAGTACTTCAAGAAGATAAGAAAAAACCTAAAAAGGCTCATCAGAAAGAGAAAATGTACAATACATAAAAAGGAATTTTCAAGAAAGTTGAGTTGGAAACATAGAAATCCTAAACCAAGTCAATAAACAGAAAAAAGCCAGAAAAAATCCATTATGCTCACATAAAGAAGACCAGTTCCAATATATTCCGCCCATTAACTGTAATACACTGCTGCTGAAGGCAGATGAATGACGCTTGAGATGTGATAGCAGACAATTACCAAAAGCGAAAAGTCAAAAAAATTAAATTAAAAAGAAAAAGAAAAAGAAAAAAAAAGGAATTACTCCTACATATTTATGTTCCAAGTGTCTCAAGGAGAAGTAGAAGCCTTAAACAGACTTAATTAATAAGAATCGAGAAGCTTTCAATATCTTGTCTAGCAATATTAATAATTTAATGTGTACTGCAAAAAGCAAAAGTTGAAATTATCCACGATAACAATCAAAAATTCAAACAATTCATGTTTGGAGGATAATGGCAGATTCCACAGAACTTCACACTATTAAAGTATTAAGTGTCCTACTCGGAGATGAGCAGGTTTTACGAAAACCCATGCATCATGTCAAAGTGCTGAGTCCCACATCAGCTTAAGATATGTAACTTGGACTCCTTGTATGATATTGGGCAATCATCACCTCATAAGCTAGCTTTTAAGGTTAAGTTAGACCCAAGGTCCATTTATCATGGTCTCAGAGCCAGGCCCGTTTCATTATTTACCCGATGTTGGGCCCCCATCTTATATTGTTCACGCTCTAGTCGTCCAGTATTGGGCATGCAAGGGGTGTTGAGTCCCATATCGGTTCAAGATGGGTAACTTGGACTCCTTATATGGTCTTGGACAATCCTCATGAACTACCTTTTGGGGTTGAGTTAGGCGCAACTGGAGTATGGAATGAGATGGGGGCCCCAACATCGGGTAAATAATGAGATGGGTCTGGCTCTGATACCATGATAATAATGGACCTTGGGCCTAACTCAATCCCAAAAGCTAGCTCAAAGGGTGAGGATTGCCCAAGCCATGTAAAGAATCCATGGAAACCATCCATCTCCCATGTGGAGTTTCATCACAAAGATAAACAAGATAATTTGTGAACTCACTGCTAAATGTGCATTTAAGATGGGTATATTTTCAATTTGAAATAATCAGTTCAATAGATGGCCAAAGGGGTGTCAAAATTAAGAAATGAGCCAGGGAAGATCCCAATCAGAAGTTGTATCTCTTTTTTTGTATTACTGAAAATTATTCTTTGGTGGTTATACCTGCACCAAGTCCAGCCTTTGACTGAAGAATTGCTTGCCCGTAAATTGATGAAGGATCCATGGGCAAAGACTTCTGAGTGCCACCCAAGTTCATTTCCCCTTTAACATCCTACATAGTTGAAATAGGTATGGATCTTAGCTAGGTAAGAGAAGATGAAACATCGAGTATTCAACAAAGAAGAGATATCACGTCAAGAAATAAGAGCTCATGTAGTTACAGTTGCCAGCTGAGACCGTCCTTGTAGTTGCTGCAATGCTGCAGACATGTTCCCTGAATTTCCTTGTAGCAACTGGCTGAATCAACAGAGAAGAAATAGAGATACAAATGATTCAATCAAGTCGTGCAACAAATAGATAGATGTTATGTTCCATTTCAAAAATAGATAAATGTTATGTAAAATAATGCAATATCACATGGAATGGTTGCACCAATCATACCCTTGATGATTAGTTGCTGACTTGAGAAGTGCCATCCTATTGGGGTCCATAAGAGCTGAAGATGTCTCCGAGTCCAT